TGCCTGACATCCCTCCATACCCCACACCTACCATAGGCATACCGCCTATACCAGGACTTGCGAGAGGGTCCCCAAAAAGCAGCCTTATGGGTATCTTCCTCAGTGCCTGCCCTAGAGGAATCCTCTAACAACTGGAACTGGGGATTTTAAGGCCCCTTTACATTGCTATGGCCCTATAACTCAGCATAAAAGGGCCAGAGGGGCGTTTGGATCTCTCCCATGGTCTTGTTAGATATAAAGGGTTTTAGAACAAGTAATTTCTGAGCTAGTCCATCAGCTGAACAAAGAAAGTATGAAATTGAAATATTGGAATATTTTTTCAGGTTAAAAAAAAAATCACTTCCATGATGTATAATTTAGGTTTACAATTATAGATTTCTCCCCAGTGATCTGAGCCTCTAGAAGACATGAGGCTGAAGGGGCTTGAGTAAGATTATCAGGCATCGGAGGTGGAGGCGGGCTCACATTTTCACAAATATCAGCAAACGACTTCCAACGATGGCAGGGCTGATGAGCTATGGGGATGGACCTGGCCTGAGTGCAACCGGGCTGCTTTGGGAAACAGCGGAAAGAAGTGTTTAAACAGCAGCCTCCTGGGCCCACAAAAGACCTGAATCCCACAGCACCAAGGGCTGACCTGTCATAGGATACCGAAGAGGACCCCTGCCCACACCTGAGCATGGGCTTCCAGCAAGGGATAAAGGGGGGCACACTCCCCGAGGATGGGGGTGGTTCTTAGAAGCATCTACATAACTCTTGGTAGCAACATCTAGACGGTCAAAGAGATTAAGCCCTTTAAAAGGGGCGACTGGCCAGCTTTGACTTTACTGCCTCATCTGCATTCCACTCCCAAAGCCAAACGTGTGTCTGACGCACAGTGGAAACTCCGCATGCAGGCAGCTTTACACAAAAAGGAAGCGGCTTCTATAGAACTGGGGACAGTGGAGAAAGCCTCATAGTTCTGGTGTCACAGGAAAAGCAGAGGAGAAATCCTTCCGAGATCCACCCACAGAGCTTAGGCCCCACAGCAAAATAAGCTGCAATAGTCAAAGTCACTACTGCGAGCTTGTAAGCTGTACTAAGGGCCAAGTCCACCCCAAGTCTTGTCTGTGGGGTGGACATATACTCCATTAGAACAATTTAGAAGTGAGACATAAGGCCTATGCATCCACCCTAGAAATAGCAAATACTTCGTCTGGTTCCTCAGGAGAAACAGGGTAACATCTGGCCTTAGGGCAAGAGTCTTGGGTGCATAGGTCCACCCAGTTCCATTCCTTGGACACAAGGTCCAGGATGGCCAAGTGGAAGGGAAAGATAACCCCCTCTTCTGCGAAGAACCATGTATGCTTGAAAACAGTATCTTTGGGGGTCTCCAAACAGAGAATGCAGAGGATGAGAGTCTCCAGTCAGGGGACACTGGTATCTGCATCAGATCAACCAAGGGTCTCGGAGGCTTGATCTAAGTCCAGGAGCAGATCACGGCCAAGATCTTGGTCCCTCTCTCCTAAGGCTGGGTTTTCAGGACTAGAAATACATTTGGGAGGGAGGTCCCCAAAGACCCTTCAGAGGAGGGATGCCTGCCAAGGGCTGGGAAGGGGAGCTGCCACTCCCACTTTAGAGGTGGGGTGCAGACTGGGCATACCATCCCTGAGTGGTGGCATTTATGTTTTATCCATTTGAACAGTTGGCCCCAGATGAAACGCCCTTGCAGGGTGGTGCTTAACCGAACAGCAATTTGCTCTGCCTTCAACTCTCCATCTGAGAAACTGCTGCTGGCTTCTTACTTCTCTCTTTCTCCCCACTCCTCAATTCTGTCCCATTTTTTCTTTAAAGTCCCCACAAAAGAGAAAAAGTGAAAAGAGATGGCAGGAGAGCTGAGGCAAGGGCTCCAGGCTTCCAAAGCAGGAAAGGCAAACTGAGGGGACGGTGCTGAAGCTTATATGTCCAGGGGCAGGATCTAGCAGTTCTTTGCATTCTTGCTTCCAGGTGGTGGCATTATGATGCTATCAGTTCCAGATTCCCGCATCAGAGGGTGCGAGGACAAGGAGACATAAGAAAAAGAAGAATTTGGCAGCATATTTTGAAGTTTATAGCAGAATGAGCTGAGTTGAAAACCCTCTTTTGACAGAGTTACTGACCTTGACATTTAAAAACAGGCACATTTATCACATTGAGACTAAAGTATTTAAATAAAGATCCAAATTTTATAAAAAGAATGGGGATCACAACAGGCTAAAATTAAAAAGAAAATTTGGTTCCCTAGCCTATTACTACTATTATTATTTTGGGTGTGTTAAGATTCCCTGCAAGGCCTTTATTTTGTATATGAGCTAAAATATTCTGTAAGACACAGTAAGAGACATTCAGCACAAAAAATAATCTTAAATTTACTTTCCTCAACTAATTTCTGCTGTGCTGCCATTGCTAACCTGGAGCTGGCCTACAAGAGTAAGGGACTCTTTTCAAACTACTGGCGTAAGGGGTAGTGTTTTTGCAAAGTCTATTGACCATCAGGGTCAAAGAAGTGACTTTACAAAACTGCACCACACATAAATGGCACTTATCAGAATAGCCCCTTTGGGTGACACTAGTACCTATGCCATCACATCATGGATCACAGTAGAGCAGGAGCTGGCTGCGTGATTTTAGGAAGCTAGCAAAAGCAGGAACACATCAGGTAAGTTTTTGAGTCATTTGTGTTGAATGCTCCCCCATCCTTTTCCTTCGGTATATGGGTATCATACACAATTTTTCCATTTAGCTCAATTAAAACAAGAACTAGATAAGCAGGCTACCTTTAAGGATTCTAAAATGGAGGACTAGGCTAACAACGCCAACTGCCAAAGAAACACAGTAGACACATACTGTAACACACAGAATGCTGATTAAACGTTTCTACAGAAAATGTTACAGAAATGCTCATATCAATTACATAAAAAAATATTCTGATAAATGCAATGTTTCTTTCAACACCATGTCACTCAGTTTTCCACCAAATATCCTTCCAAATGCAATTAGATTAATTGCCTGTGAAAGTCTCTTCTTGTAAGTGAAGGGTAGGAGTAGGAATAAATTGTGGGGAAATGATAAGTGTACAATTTTAACCAAAGAAAGATTCAAAAGGAGAAAGATATTTCTGTCTATTGAATCAATTTTAATTTTTTTAAAAAAATCAATACGGCTTGACATTTTAAAAATATTTCTCCATTAAAAACAGCTCACAATGTAAAAGAAATTTTACTGCACCCAAAAATAAACTGAACAGAGCATAAAATTTGGACAGAGTTAAAACATCAGAACTGTATCAATCATATAACGGTACAAATTAAATGTACCAATTAATGAATTACCTTGACATCATCTAGAAGAGTAAAGGTATTCCTCTACTATGAGATAATAAATATTCATTCTAGATGACCTGTCAACGTGTAGCTGCACAAAATGTTATATATGGATTAACTGTTAATTTATTAAACTAAAAAGATAACGTATTTCAAATTTATTCTTTTACTATTGTTTCAGAATAACGGGGCACACTTGGTACTGGGATTGGAAGGGAATCAAAAACATTAATTCGTTTAAAAAAGTCTTTTAGACACAGATTTTCACTTGATTTTGAATGAGTGCTAGACCTTACCCTGCAAAAACTTATGCACGTGAGTACCTTTACTTATTAAGTTGTCCAGTGGGATTATTAATGTAAGTAAAGTTACTCATGTATGACTGCAGGATAGGTCTTATTTTATTTCAGTGCTTCCCTGCTGAGTTCTCCAATAGATTATGTAAAATTGGAAGGTGGTGTACCATCACCCCACCACCTATTCTTGAATGTCACCATCCTACATCAGCTTTACAAGAAGAGGTACTAAGCTGTTGTGAGGCATGCAGAATCTGAGCAGGATGAGCACAGGCTTAAAAGTTAATGAAAAAAATTAAACATCTACTAAAATCATTGACTATTCAAGCCAATGTTTTGACCAAAAACTTAAAACCGGATGACTGACTGAAATAAGAGTGTATTGCAGAATTGATACTTCTGCTGAAAGATCAGCACTTGCATATGCAATGTTGCAGAGCCATTCCTTTCCTTAGTAAATAAAAAAAGGAGTTACATTTCAGTCTCCCTCCATTTCTGTATATATATTCTAGCTCTAGAGAAAAAACTCTTTTCTTTCCCTTTTTCTTGTTCCTCTGAAAGCATAATATTGACAAGAAATCAAAATTGCCAAAAATATGTATCTTCTTTTCATGATCTATGCAGGGCCTACAGTTGGCTTATAGTTAGTGAAAGTCTATAAATGTTACCCTGCTTCAGTAGCTTCCTTCTCGAAAATAAAGTAAACTAATCTGTTCGCTTGCGTTTTCTGAGATAAGGGGTGAGATTCCATGTTGCCTCTCCATGAGGCACAGCACAGAACTTGCAGCCCAGCACAGAGGGACCTATGCTGACTTTAAATCATCTTTTTGCCCAACTGCTTCAGGGACTGGAGAGTCCTCCCTGTTCCACCCCCGGGGGGCTTATCTAAGCTACAATAGTTTCCCGCAGGGGTCTTCTGGGCTGCAGCACTGCCCAGAATCTCCACAAGGCTCCGTGCTACAGCAACACTTCTACCCCCAATACCAACCCACTCATCCCCACAACTGGCATGCCCCCACACCAGGGTTTGTGAGGGGTTCCTCCGAAGGCAGCCTGATGTGCCTGAACTGAGGAATTCTGCCCTGAAAGGGATGCAGGGCTTTTTGAGACCCTTGACATCACCCTGGCCCTTTTAGACAGTATGAAGGGGATGGAGCTGAGTCAATCATTCACCCTAAAAGCTAATTACAAATATTTATTATTGCCCATTGATATGCTTAGCTGCAAGACAACCCAGATGCAAGCTAAACTGTAAATGATAGGTTAGGACACGTTTTCTTGCAAGAAAACAAAATTGTATCTAAGAATATTAATGGTACTCCTGTAAAATCAAAGTGTTTACATCATCTGTGCATGGTTCTACCACCAGATTTGATCATAATAAATTACAAAAGATGTATTCCTCATAGTCTAGATTAAATTAACCAGCTGTATATTTAATGTGCAGTCAGTTATAAATCTCTTTTTAATAAAATTTTTAAAAAGGCAGCATATTTAGATTGTGCAAATGCAGAGTACCAGCATTATGCTGTAACACACACCCACATTGTAATATTTTTACTGTATACTGCCAGTGATCGTTGGGAAAAAAAAACAAAAAACAAGGAGTTACTTCTTATAAGTAATCCCCTGGTCATACTGAGCTTTTTCCTTTAATATCCATCTTGATAGTAGCTTCAGACTGCTTGTTCAATTGCTCTTCTGTAAAAGTGATGTAAGAATACACCAGGCTTCCAGCAATACTACAAAACACATTTTTAGGTAAAAGAGACAAATGATGCATATTAATGTTAGAACTCCATGTAAATTATCACATAAGTACCATTCTACATACTCTAAACATATTTTAATCGTGCATTCCTTCTCCAATTTACTAATTAACACTTTTACCTAGAATCCAGTACAGAGATTATTCTGAATTTTGATTCATTCCTACCATTGTACCAAAATATTCATGGATCTCATTATGCAGATATACCAAACACTAGGCCTGGTGGTACAGGAGTTGGGGTGGGCCTATAAATAACTGGCCAGCCACAGAAATACAAATTTTTGATGATACTCTGCCCCCCCCCCCCCCCGTTTTATATAGGCTGCAAAAGGAACAAAGGAAGTTAAATTGGTAAAAGGAGGAGTCTGAGCAAGGTGGTGAAGTGTCAGCCATAAACTTGATTTAGCTAGCTGATTCTCCCCCTACCCCCTTGAAATCAATCCTCTCCTCTCCATACGGTTCATATTTTGTTCAATCTGATTTATAACCCATGTTCTCCAACCACTAAATATCTAGAGACTTTAATTTGTGAAGAACCATTCAGAAGAACATAAAGGAAAAAAGAATGTGTGTGTTCTATGCAGAGCTAAAAACAGAGTTTCTTTTGAGGTCATTTTATTTATTTAGGTTATCCCTTGACCCGTGTCAAACCATAAAATACCGTATGCCCAAGTACATTAAAAAGCTTAAGTAATTTCATTCTCTCTTACTACCTTTAGTTACAAATTTAAAATTTATCTTTTTAAAAGGTAGAAACAGAGAATGGTCCAAATTTACAGGCATATTTTAGCCGCACAACCTCTCCACCTTAAAATAGTTTTTTTTTTTTTTGGTAATGAAACCAGTGGCACTATTTGGAGACTTTATATAATTTGAGCTGTAAATATTCAGCCAGAGCATTAAAAAAAAAAACAAAAAAACAAAACACACTTAACCTCCCCCCCCCCTCCAAACAAACCAAGGATGCCTTTTAGATCAGTCAAATGTAGGTCAGGATTGTATCAACTTTCAGTTTATGTGCACTGAATACCAAACAACCCCTGATGTTCCCAGTAGTGCCTAGAACGAGCAGTGCATTCTTACTGGGTGCAGACGCATTTCTGAATGTTTTAAAAAGAGAACCAGGGAGATATGTGTTATTATTTTAAAAATGGCTTTTGAAGATAACCATTTAAGTTGGTAGAATTGGGGATCGGGGGGAAGGGGTTGTTTGTTTTAGGTATTTATCAGTTGAAAAGGTAAGTCTCTGGGTTTTGGTTTTTTAAATTAAGTTTAAGTTATTTTCCCTTATGCGGTCTCAACACATGAAATCTACACAGTTACATCGGGTATGCTGTAGCAGATGATGATCAATGAACCAAGTAGTCCAATTACCTATCCTCATACAGTAGTTAGGACAGGATGCTTCAGAGAAAGGCATGAGACCCCATAAATGCTACAATATGTCAAGGAGGGACAATCTATTCATTACTCCAGCTGATGATTTGCTTATGCTGTGAAGTAAAATGATCGATAACCATAATTTTCTTTAATCCTGATAGTTTAACTGCAGATTGTCGTTTCATTCATATGTCTGTCTATTTTAGGGTTTAGTACTGCTGCTCATCACTGTAGTATCTGAGCATCTTCCATGTAAAACAAATTAATAGCAGTAGCGAAGTCCCCAATGCACTTAATCGAGTCTCTGGCACTTCTCCCTTCTGGGGCAAACACACTGTGTGGGGTAGGGTTTTTGAATTTATTAATTTTCTTTTTAGTTAGTTGGGGTTTATTGGGTGGAAGGGGGACATCAGTGTTGTGTCATTCTTATGGTGAAAAGGCTTTAGCGAAGAGGAAGGTTTTAGAGCATTTCCTAAAGATGGTCAGATTCTGGATTCACTTGACCTCTCTAAAAGACTTGTTACAGTTGGTATGGCAACCCCCATTTGTGTGTGTGTGTGTGTGTCTACTGTATTTTCCACTGCATGCATCTGATGAAGTAGGTTTTAGCCCACAAAAGCTTATGCCCAAATAAATGTGTTCGTCTCCAAGGTGTCGCATGTACTCCTTGTTCTTTTTGTTCCAGAGTGGTATCCCCTCAACCGACAACGCTCTATCCCCAGCTCTCACCTCCTAGGTCACAGGCTTTGTGATCCGCACTGTCCCAGAGGAGTGCAGCCGATTGAAATTTGGCTTTTGAAAATTTAAGACCAAAGGTTTAAATTGGCATTGGAAACTAATTAGGAGGCAGTGGAGGGTTTTGAGCATGGGCCTAATATGTTCACAGAGCAGCTGGTGCCCATGCATCATGTTCACATTCATAGATTCATAGATTCTAGGACTGGAAGGGACCTCGAGAGGTCATCGAGTCCAGTCCCCTGCCCGCATGGCAGGACCAAATACTGTCTAGACCATCCCTGATAGACATTTATCTAACCTACTCTTAAATATCTCCAGAGATGGAGATTCCACAACCTCCCTAGGCAATTTATTCCAGTGTTTAACCACCCTGACAGTTAGGAACTTTTTCCTAATGTCCAACCTAGACCTCCCTTGCTGCAGTTTAAGCCCATTGCTTCTTGTTCTATCCTCAGAGGCTAAGGTGAACAAGTTTTCTCCCTCCTCCTTATGACACCCTTTTAGATACCTGAAAACTGCTATCATGTCCCCTCTCAGTCTTCTCTTTTCCAAACTAAACAAACCCAATTCTTTCAGCCTTGCTTCATAGGTCATGTTCTCAAGACCTTTAATCATTCTTGTTGCTCTTCTCTGAACCCTTTCCAATTTCTCCACATCTTTCTTGAAATGCGGTGCCCAGAACTGGACACAATACTCCAGCTGAGGCCTAACCAGAGCAGAGTAGAGCGGAAGAATGACTTCTCGTGTCTTGCTCACAACACACCTGTTAATACATCCCAGAATCACGTTTGCTTTTTTTGCAACAGCATCACACTGTTGACTCATATTTAGCTTGTGGTCCACTATAACCCCTAGATCCCTTTCTGCCGTACTCCTTCCTAGACAGTCTCTTCCCATTCTGTATGTGTGAAACTGATTTTTTCTTCCTAAGTGGAGCACTTTGCATTTGTCTTTGTTAAACTTCATCCTGTTTAACTCAGACCATTTCTCCAATTTGTCCAGATCATTTTGAATTATGACCCTGTCCTCCAAAGCAGTTGCAATCCCTCCCAGTTTGGTATCATCCGCAAACTTAATAATCGTACTTTCTATACCAATATCTAAGTCGTTAATGAAGATATTGAACAGAGCCGGTCCCAAAACAGACCCCTGCGGAACCCCACTCGTTATGCCTTTCCAGCAGGATTGGGAACCATTAATAACAACTCTCTGAGTACGGTTATCCAGCCAGTTATGCACCCACCTTATAGTAGCCCCATCTAAATTGTATTTGCCTAGTTTGTCGATAAGAATATCATGCGAGACCGTATCAAATGCCTTACTAAAGTCTAGGTATACCACATCCACAGCTTCTCCCTTATCCACAAGACTCGTTATCCTATCGAAGAAAGCTATCAGATTGGTTTGACATGATTTGTTCTTTACAAATCCATGCTGGCTGTTCCCTATCACCTTACCACCTTCCAAGTGTTTGCAGATGATTTCCTTAATTACTTGCTCCATTATCTTCCCTGGCACAGAAGTTAAACTAACTGGTCTGTAGTTTCCTGGGTTGTTTTTATTTCCCTTTTTATAGATGGGCACTATATTTGCCCTTTTCCAGTCTTCTGGAATCTCTCCCGTCTCCCATGATTTTCCAAAGATAATAGCTAGAGGCTCAGATACCTCCTCTATTAGCTCCTTGAGTATTCTAGGATGCATTTCATCAGGCCCTGGTGACTTGCAGGCATCTAACTTTTCTAAGTGATTTTTAACTTGTTCTTTTTTTATTTTATCTGCTAAACCTACCCCCTTCCCATTAGCATTCACTAGGATAGGCATTCCTTCAGACTTCTCGGTGAAGACCGAAACAAAGAAGTCATTAAGCATATCTGCCATTTCCACGTTTCCTGTTACTGTTTCTCCCTCTTCACTAAGCAGTGGGCCTACCCTGTCTTTGGTCTTCCTCTTGCTTCTAATGTATTGATAAAAAGTCTTCTTGTTCCCCTTTATTCCCTTAGCTAGTTTGAGCTCATTTTGTGCCTTTGCCTTTCTAATCTTGCCCCTGCATTCCTGTGTTGTTTGCCTATATTCATCCTTTGTAATCTGTCCTAGTTTCCATTTTTTATATGACTCCTTTTTATTTTTTAGATCATGCAAGATCTCGTGGTTAAGCCAAGGTGGTCTTTTGCCACATTTTCTATCTTTCCTAACCAGCGGAATAGCTTGCTTTTGGGCCCTTAATAGTGTCCCTTTGAAAAACTGCCAGCTCTCCTCAGTTGTTTTTCCCCTCAGTCTTGATTCCCATGGGACCTTACCTATCAGCTCTCTGAGCTTACCAAAATCCGCCTTCCTGAAATCCATTGTCTCTATTTTGCTGTTCTCCCTTCTACCCTTCCTTAGAATTGCAAACTCTATGATTTCATGATCACTTTCACCCAAGCTGCCTTCTACTTTCAAATTCTCAACGAGTTCCTCCCTATTTGTTAAAATCAAGTCTAGAACAGCTTCACCCCTAGTAGCTTTTTCAACCTTCTGAAATAAAAAGTTGTCTGCAATGCAGTCCAAGAATTTGTTGGATAGTCTGTGCCCCGCTGTGTTATTTTCCCAACATATATCCGGATAGTTGAAGTCCCCCATCACCACCAAATCTTGGGCTTTGGATGATTTTGTTAGTTGTTTAAAAAAAGCCTCATCCACCTCTTCCACCTGGTTAGGTGGCCTGTAGTAGACTCCTAGCATGACAGCTTCAGATACAGCAAATCATAGTAACCCCACCGGGAGATTACTAATGCATGGATCCTGGCAGTCAGGGCCTTGTCTGGGGGGGGGGAAAGGGGGGGGGGTGGGGGGAAGGGACAACACCTTTTTAGGTAGCTGGAGGTAAAAAGAATGTTTAGATATTGATGCTACCTGTCACCCAAGCTTCGGAGTCCAAGAGAGTCCAGAGGCTTCACAGCACTTTGATGAATGGGGTCTGTGTGCCATCAATGAAAGAAGACAACCACTCAGCTCAGAGCATTTCCCCCCTTCCAACTATCACCACTTCGGTCTTGCCAGGGTCCAGCTTGACTCAGCTGCTCTTCATCCAAGCGCTGATTTCTTGTAGGCATTCTGACATTTTAGTAGTGTTGGTGCTTTCATCCATGGAGAATGATGTATTTCAGTTTAGTTGGCAGCTAGGCCCCCAGCATCTCCCCTCTCTCCCCACAAAATGGTCTCACGTAGTTATTGGAGAGAAGTGGGGATAGTATGAATCCCTATAGGACCCCAGAGATGAGGCCCTCCGGAAAGGCTAAGCAGTGATAGAGAGGAACAACTGGAGCCACTGTAGTGCTGGGCCATCTACTCCTCCTGTGTCATGTAGCTGTACCTTGTTGTCCACTGTGTCAAACGCTGCAGAGAGATCCAGCAGTGCGAACACAGAGATCTTGACCGTGTCCATGGCCATGAGGTGGTCATATTTTAGTGCCAACAGCGCTGCCACTGCTGTGTGCCCTAGCTGTCAGGTATCCACTATGCTGGCTGATTCACATGCTGGAGCATGGTGGCTGCTGATTTCTCAATTATTTTGCCATGGAATGGGAGGCTGGAGACAGGAGTGCAATTGGAGAGATCTTCAGGGTCAAGGGATGTTTTCTTGAGGATTGGGTGAACTGTTCCTTCCCCCCCCCCCCCAAGGAGTTTGGTAGGTGACTTTTCTTCTCTGCAGGAGGATCTGACTGTATCCATTAGTAGTGTGCATAATTCTTCATTGGCTTTTACCAGCCAGAAGGGGTATGGATCTGTTTCACAAGTTCTGGCTCTAATATTTTACAGGGCTTTTTGAGCTTCAGCATGTGTGATCAGGCCAGACTCAGTCAGGGTGGTGGGGCAGATAATACAGTCTAGTTGGGGTAGAGTTCTTTGTCCATTAGCTTCTTATGTATTCTGTTGATCTCACCAAAGCCAACAGCTCCTCAGAGCAGTCAATGCTTGGGTCTGGTGTCTAAGCTATGCAATCAGATTTGACTAGCTGGTTCCCTACTTAAAACAGCTCTGTGGAGGAGAAGAAGGCGGCTTGCTTTTGCCTCCTTTATTGCAGTGGTGTAGTCCTGTAAGACCTGGTGATTAGACCAGGAGAGTGGTACGTTGGGGATGCCTCCAATATCTACATGTACACTGAAGGTAGGATCTAACATATGTCGAGCTGCACATATTTCAGAGGACAAGGAATCTGGAGTACCATGCTTGGCAGTAGCTCTGTTAGTTCTTTCCAGAAGTTGACTGGCTTTCCATCTGGAGGACAGTACACCACTAGGAGTCCTAGATTCCTCTTGCCCTTCACCTCACAGGTCCTATGGATGCACCTCAAAGATTTAGTTTCTGGGGTGGAATGTTTCTGAATCAGAGCTAGGGTACAAACAGGACTGCTACTCCGTGTCCTCTCCTTTTTGCTGGCGCATTCTGGAGTTTGTCTGGGCTTGTGGCTGGAGGACTAGCTGTGCTAAGGCTGGGCTGGAGGCAGCACTGACCCATGTCTTTCTAGCGATGCAAACAAGGCTAAGTTCTTCATCCAAAACAAGATTATGGACAGCGCTGGTTCTGACTGATGACCTTGCATCCAGCAGAAAGGAACTTCAGTTATTTTGTTTTTCTCCCCTGTTTAATGATGTTACCAATTGAGCAATTGGCTTTAGGTGCCTCGCTTTTGGATTTACCGATTCCTCTTTGAAACTTACAACATACCTTAGTAATTAGCATAGCAAATAATTTGCTTTTTAAGTTTCAAATGTATACAAATCCTTGAGACAGCTTGAGGGTGACATGGTATTACTTCACACAGCCTAAAGTTCACCCTCCTACATGTGTTTTGAATAGCAACCAGCATTTCATGTAAAAATAAGATGCCAGGAAGAAAATATGCTTTTATTTTTATAAAAGATACACCCATAATAGTCATCCTGAATACACACACACACACGCTTCTACGAAAGGTTTTATCCCTTTAAAACCCCGCATTTTCCTCTTCCTTTACCTCCAAACAAATCTGTTACCAAAAATGATGGAACATTAAGCTGGTGATACAAAAAAATCTTAACTAAAAGCTATGACAAGAGCACGATCCTGCAAGCAATTAGGCACATACTTAATTTTATGCACATAAATCCCTTGATATCAATAGGACTACTCACATCCGTAACTGTTTTCAGGATCAAGACTTAACACTTCCTACATATTAGCTTTGTAGTGGATTCCTCCCACCAGAATTCAAAAAAGTGCAGTTCTATTTTGGAAAGTGATCCTATTTGGATGGTTCAATACTTCTTTCAGTAATTCAATAGCAAGTTGCTCAATTTACAAGTTATTTTGAAGTGTTACATACATTCAAGACCAGTCTTCAGTTTTCTTACCTGATATTTAACCCAATGAAGTTTGTCCATGTGAAAATATAGTCTCCTCCAAAAAACATTCCAATATAGGTTATTAATATATTCTGGAAAGGGGAAAAAAAAAAAAAGGTGTACACATTTTGCTTAGAATTTTTAAACAGCTGTTTATGTATATTCCACTGGCATAAACAGGATACTGAAATGAATAGAAGAGAGTCAGAAGAGATAACTGTGTGAAAGATACTGACATTTGTATTTATAATACTGACTTGAAAGTTACCATATCAGGGCTACTGGTAATATTAAAATATTCAGGCCTTATGGTTTTTTTCCCCTTGTCTTACTGTTTTTCCTTCATATTGCGCTACTGAGCCCCAAAAATGTTTTCTCCCACCCTGCAAAACAAAGGCTGCAACATAGGGGAAAAAACGCTTCTGCTAGACAACCTTACAACAATGTACCTAGAGCACTGAATTCTTCAGAAAGCCAGTTGTTCTCTTGCTCTGCCTCTCTTCCTTATCTGCAAGTAGACAGATGCTGACACGTACAAAAATCCTTACCCTTAAAAAGTTATGTATTTCCAAAACTACACATACTGCTGGCAGCCCTAATTCTAGGCCTAACAACTTCAACAGTAGCTTTTTAGTTCCGATATGTTTTTATTGGTTTCCCATTTCCCCTCAGGCGTCACTGGTTTTGTTAAAGACTTCATTTAGATCTCCAGTCATGCCAAAGTTCAATATCCTCAGCTTTCAACCACACAACCATCCACAGGGCTTCTACAGTAGGGCTCCACAGGAGCTTAATCCCAGTGCATGAGGCAAAAGATATTCTAGAATTTACCCAGCAGAGATCCATATACAGATGCTGGCAGCTACAGATCACTATTGAAAACTCGTATCAATGAATGGAAAGGGCCCAGACAGACATGGGAGGGCTCTTGGAAAGGGATACAACATAAAAGCCTCTGTATCTTTTCTCTCTATGAATTCCCTGTCTATCCTCTGACCTCTTAACCATGTCAAGCCAAGAAACTAGAAGGGCGAGCTGGATTCTATTGTGGCTCCCAAAGCAATGGAATAGTTAATTAATTTCAGGACCAAATCCTATCTTCAGTTACACCTGTGCTAACTTATTAGATACAATGGGGTTGCACAGATTTAAATGAGGACAGAATCTTGCCTGGAGAATGTCTTAGAGGTGGTGATATGCCAAAAAGAACAAGTGAAACCTAATAATGTCAATCTATTTATGTAGACTGGCTGTTTCAACCTATGGATTAGAGGACCTGAAAGGTCTTTCTATTTCCAATTTATAATTCACTGCAATCCTAAACACAGTCATTTCATAATTTCAGTTATGTCATACAGAATTATGGTTGGTTTCCAATTGCATAAACATAAACAAAGTATTATGATTGCCTTTGTCCAGCATGAAAATAGCATATATGCAAGTGCCCCAGACCAGCTGAATTATACTTCTATCACTGTTTGGAAATGGTACTTCTCTGGCTAAGCATACACGCTATTTTGATCTTTGGCAGATTGACATTCTTGTGTTTTGGTCTGACCTTGGTGTCACTGACTACAACAGAGCTGCCTACTTTGCTTTACGCAACACCACCTTAAGCCTACTCAATGCAACAGTGAATTCCACAAACTTAGTCCCCTTATTCTGAGGAATCCAATAAATTTGATAGATGAATCAAAATATTTTAAAAATAAAAAGTAAAAATAGCCTCCTTTGTTCTGTTCTTAAAGTTTACGGCAAGGGATGGCTAAAAACAAACTTTCAAAAAGCCTCAGTACCTCCCCCTGAGGCAGTTTGCCAGAGATGACTTTGTTCATTTCTCCAAGCAAGCAGGTATGGTCATCTTGTTTGGAGATTAGAGCCTAGGGGAAAGAGGGAGGAGAGAGATGATAGTCCACAGAGGAGAGCAAGATAAAGAAGCAGAAGTGAATTAGGGGAACACCTGTGCATGGAAGGAGAAGCAGGGAGTTCATGCGTGTGTTTGTTCAAGTCTGTGTGTTTTTCTGGGATCCCGTGATCTACATATGTTATCCCAGTACAAAAAACACATGGTTCCAACCCCTATAGCACTGGCATTCAGGAGCAGATTGGTTTCGCACACTACTGGATACAGCACTGTAGTATATGCACATGGTTGCCCCATACCTACGCCATGAGGAAAACACACAATGCAAGTCTGAAATCAAATAGAAGAGACCTCCAGCAATGCCCAGTTGTCAGTATAATGCACTAAAGTCTCCAGACTTTTAACTTTAAGGGAAATGTGTAGTTGGGAAAACATTTTATAGACGTTATTAGTTACTTTCCATTTAAAGGTGAAAATTCTTAAAGGGTTAAGATAGTATAGGCTTCTTTTTTATGTTCATTTGCAAATGTGTGTCTCTAAATGCAAGCATCGAAGGCAAAACTTCCTGATATTATGTGAATAGTAAGATGTTTTATCCACTAATATAGATTCAAGAGACCTTGCTACATCTGGTTAATATAAAAAGTCATTGGAGTATAAAATATCTGTATTTATTGAGGAACTAATTAGCTATCTGGCATGTTTACTCCTTAGCAAACTTAGGAAGACAAGAATCACCTCTGCATGTATAGTTAAGGGAAAAAAGTAATTTAACTGGTTACCATTTAAGTTGAAAGACCCTCTTTAGGAATCATGAAAACAGCCACATTTGAATCATAGACTTTAAGGTCAGAAGGGACCATTATGATCATCTAGTCTGACCTCCTGCACAACGCAGGCCACAGAATCTCACCCACCCAGTCCTGTATCAAACCTGTGTTTGAGCCATTGAAGTCCTCAAATCATGGTTTAAAGACTTCAAGGTGCAGAGAATCTTCCAGCAAGTGACCCGTGCCCCATGCTGCAGAGGAAGGCAAAAAAACCCCAGGGCTTCTGCTAATCTGCCCTGGAGGAAAATTCCTTCCCGACCCCAAATATGGTGACCAGCTAAACCCTGAGCATGTAGGCAAGACTCACCAGCCAGACACCCAGGAAAGTTTCAAATGAGTTACTACAGAGAATTCTATTTCAACTTCTATTAAGCCCTCATGGAATTAAAGGGATATCTCAGAAAGTTAACTGAATAAAAGAAAGGTATTAAAAACTTTAAAAAAGACACTCTCAGAATTTCCCACCACAAAGATAAAAGCAATAACCACAAAGCTGATGAATTACAACCCAGCTGCATATGCATTAGTAGATGGCATATTCCCAAGTTGAATATGTTGCCAGGCCCATCCCATGAAGGCATTGAGCAAGTGAAAGGTGACAGCAGCTGATATTTGAATCCAGCCAAGCCCCTGAAAGAGGTGAGTCTTCCACCTTCCATCAGACTATAGAAAGAAAACAGACTTGGACACTGGATACTTCAGTTCTCAGCTCAGCCTGTTCACCTCATACCTTCAAATCAACAGCTCTACAAACAAACTGCAGCAGCAACAAGATAGTTGAGATGACAAAGAAGCCAGAAAACAGCATGAAAAGGAAGCAACCCTCTAGTCTAGCATTGCTTCTGCAACCTGATAACTTCACCAAGACTTTTAACACGGTTGACAAGAAGTTTGCAAAAACACTGCCAACAAATTAGTTGTAAATTATTCTCGTAATGATCTTACTGGACTATTGAAATGCTATTGTAAGTAAAGTAGTAACAGCTTAAACCTGCTAAACCGCAGCTTGTTTAGGCTATGCACTCCTGGAGAGCCGACATAAGCTAACCTTGATAAACTGAAGTAGTGGAATTTAATTTGAATGTAAAAATGAGCAACAAAAATGATTACAGGTCTAGAAAACATGACCTATGAAGAAATATTGGGGAAAAAATGGGTTTGTTTAGTTTGGAGAAGAGAAAACTGAGGGGAACATAACAGCCTTCATGGTCGTAAAAGGTTGTTATAAAGAGAAGGGTGATAAATAGTTTTCCTTAACCACTGAGGACAGGACAAGAAGTAATGGGCTTAAATTGCAGCAAGGTTGACTCAAGTTAGACATTAGGAAAAACTTACTAACTGTCAGGGTAATTAAGCACTGGAATAAATTACCTAGGGAGGATGTGGAATCTCCATCATTGGAGGTTTTAAAGAACATGTTAGACAAACACCTGTCAGCAATGGTGCAGATAACACCTTAGTCCTGCCTCAGTGCAGGGGATGGACTAGATGACCTATCAAGGTCCCAGCCAGTCCTGCATTTCTATGATTCCTATGCTTAATTTTCAGTAAATTGCCAGCCTCATAACCTCTCCTTAAAGTGCTTTGGTGTGTTAAGAAACATTATTATTTTAAATTAGTAATTTTTGAATGGCTTCTTTTAAGTAAACAAGTTAAATATTTTCTCCAGATTCATAGGATTTAGCTAAGATCACTTACCTCTGCCCATCTGTAAATTGTTTAGGTTAGGACTGATAACCAAACAGGATTCACCAACCCTTAAATGAAATTCCTTTACCCAGGTACAAACTATGATAATTATCTATGCTCCACTGAGATAGAACTCTCTACTGAATTGCAGAATAATACACTTTGGTCTTAATTTATCTAGGGAACAACATCCCCAGGAGCCCAGACTCATCCTCCATGGTGTAATCTCTCCATAATAGAGAAATACAGAAGAGATTGTGACTGAAATAGCCATTGGTTATAGCTCACAGGTTTTTTTCTTTCCTTTCTTTTATTAATGTTATTCATAATTCATAAGTGTGAATATTTTGCTGGGCTTTAGTTATGGTGCCCCACAACACATAGTAAGAACCACAGGCGAGTAAATGGGAGGTCACATCCTTGAATTGGCATTGAGAGTGACAATCATGAAGATTTGGCTTACTGTTCTTGGTTTCTCTAGACTAATTTTATCCTCCAAGTTACCAAAAATTCCTACTTAGCTCTCTATACCCCTTCCACTCATACAAAAGCCTCTGAGAATATAAACATTTATGCTGCTTTTGTAAGCATCATACAGGCACTGTTGTAACACAGGAAATGGAAACTTAATAAACTTGACAAATATTTAAGAGATTTATGAAATTTACCTTAATACAGCCAACTATTGTAGTTGTAAGAGCAGAATTATACTGAGTGCAAAGAACTGTGGAGTACATCAAAATAAACCTGCAGCAGAAAAAAAACAAAACAAAACACAACATTCAGCTTTTCATCATTTGAGGGTGCATTTATTATACTAAAATGCCATCTCTCTCCCTGCTCTTAATTATATGCCATACTACAGAGTTTCCAGAACTACTTGTTTGGAAAAACCTGTATAACTCACGATGGAGTAAAGTTATCTGTCAAAATACACAGCAACGGTGTCCCCACACTATCATGTACGCTATATACTATACTGCATTGTACAGGAGGACCTCACTAATTCTCATTAACAGGGCAACCCTTTTGTGATCACTAAATTTTGGAAATTAGTGAGTGAGCAAACAGACCAGAAAACATAAGTATACTACAGCACAAATGCTACAGGTAGTTTAGTTTGACAGGCATTTTTTAGTTTTATTTATAAGAAGTTATGTTTGTAAGTGTCTCAAACTATATTTTAAAGTAATGAAATCTTAGTAATGACTTCATTACCACACTCTATTATTTAATTCTTACTAAGAAGCGGGCCAAGACCACTGGAGTTCGTGGAATCAAGTTTGTAGATTAGCAAAGTGAGAGTTGGTAAGTCTCTACTAGTTTGAGTAAAAGGAAATAGTAAAATATGCCATTGCTCATAAAAACAGCTAGATTTAAGAAAATAAAAAACATTACGGGTATGCAGTCTCTCAAAAAATCAGAATATACAGTAGCATCTGAATTTCTAACTCATGAGACAACATTTTAAGGAATAAACTTTCTCCAAACTATTTTGTGCCACCACTGAAATTGGACTTTCTACTGATTAGTACGTTATCAACAGTAGAACTTCTCTGCAAAGATTATTCTCCCCACAATTAACATTAATGGGAGTTTTACGTGCATATTGACTACAGAGCAGGCCCTTCCTTAGTATCTATTGGTGGGGATACAGTAGAGAGACTACTACTTGGAGGAAACACCACTAAAGTTAAAGTAAATCCTTACCCCATTACACATGAGAGTGTAAACTGTATAACGAAGAGTGTATCTGCCCAGCCTTTATATTCCATTGCCTGAAACAAACAAATCCAATCTTAAAAATGAAAAAATAACGTTCCGAAGTAGACTTTAATCCTTTAACGTTTTGCCGCAGTTAATGTGAAAGCCACAAGTGAGCACTAAAGGATCATGGCCATAAGGAGGTCATTCACCAACGCTATTACAGCCTTCTGAGAACAGCGGCTTAGTGTGAAAACAGATTCTAGAATCACAGGAGGAACGTAAGGCTAAAAGGGACCTTGAGAGGTCACTGAGGCCAGCCCTCTGCACTGTAGCAGGACCAAGTAAACTTAGACCATCCCTGTATGCAGCACAGTTGTAGCAGTGTTGGTCACAGGATATTACAGAGACAAGGTGAGCGAGGTAATATCTTTTACTGGACCAACTTCTGTTGGTGAAAGAAAAGCTGTTGAGCTTACACAGAGCTCTTTTTCAGGTCAGTCAGCCCAGAACTCAAGAGGAGCTCTGTGTAAGTTCACCAGCTTGTCTTTCTCACCAACAGAAGTTGGTTCAGTAAAAGATATTACCTCACCTACCCTGTCTCTTTTAGACCATCCCTGAAAGGTGTTTTTAAAAACCTCCAATGATGCTGATTGAACAACCTTCCTTGAAAGCCTATTCAAGAGTTAAACTACCTATATAGTTAGAAAATATTTCCTAGCATCTAACCTAAATCCCCCTTGCTGCAGATTAAGCCAAATACTTTTTGTCCTATTTTCAGTGGACATGGAGAACAATCAATTGCTCCTCTTTATAGCAGATCTTAACATATTTCAAGACTTATCAGGTCCCCGACCCCCAGCCTGCCTTTTATCAAGATTAAACATGTCTATTTTTTTCATCTTTCCTCACAGGTCAGGTTTTCTAAACCTTTTATCGTTTTTATTGCTCTCCTCTGGACTCTCCAATTTGTGCACATCTTTCCTAAAGTGTGGTGCCGAGAACTGGACATTGTATTCCAGCTGAGGCCTCACCAGTGCAAACCAGAATCGGACAATTACGTCCCATGTCTTACATATGACATGCCTGTTAATACACTCCAGAACAGCAGCCTTTTTTTGCAGCTGCTTAACGATGTTGATTCTCAATTTATGATCCACTATAACCCCCAAATCCTTTTCAGCAGCACTATCACCTAGTCAGTTATTCCCCATTTTGTTGTTGTACATTTCATTTTTCCTTCCTAAATGAAGTGCTTTGCACTTATCTTCACTTAATTTCATCTTGTTGAATTCAGACCAACTCTCCAATTTGTCAAGATTATGACTTCTAATCCTGTCCTCCAAAGCGCTTACAAGCCCTCCCAGTTTTCATTAAGCACACTCTCTACTCCATTATCCAAGTCATTAATAAAAACTTCACAGTAGATTCATAGACTCTAGGACTGGAAGGGACCTCGAGAGGTCATCGAGTCCAGTCCCCTGCCCTCATGGCAGGACCAAATACTGTCTAGACCATCCCTGATAGACATTTATCTAACCTACTCTTAAATATCTCCAGAGATGGAGATTCCACAACCTCCCTAGGCAATTTATTCCAGTGTTTAACTACCCTGACAGTTACGAACTTTTTCCTAATGTCCAACCTAAACCTCCCTTGCTGCAGTTTAAGCCCATTACTTCTTGTTCTATCCTTAGAGGCTAAGATGAACAAGTTTTCTCCCACCTCCTTATGACTCCCTTTTAGATACCTGAAGACTGCTATCATGTCCTCTCTCAGTCTTCTCTTTTCCAAACTAAACAAACCCAATTCTTTCAGCCTTCCTTCATAGGTCATGTTCTCTAGACCTTTAATCATTCTTGTTGCTCTTCTCTGGACCCTCTCCAATTTCTCCACATCTTTCTTGAAATACGGTGCCCAGAACTGGACACAATACTCCAGTTGAGGCCTAACCAGCGCAGAGTAGAGTGGAAGAATGACTTCTCATGTCTTGCTCACAACACACCTGTTAATGCATCCCAGAATCATGTTTGCTTTTTTTGCAACAGCAGATGATTTCCTTAATTACTTGCTCCATTATCTTCCCTGGCACAGAAGTTACTACAGACCAGTTAGTTTTTCCTGGGTTGTTTTTATTTCCCTTTCTGTAGATGGGCACTATGTTTGCCCTTTTCCAGTCTTCTGGAATCTCTCCTGTCTCCCATGATTTTCCAAAGATAATAGCTAGAGGCTCAGATACCTCCTCTGTTAGCTCCTTGAGTATTCTAGGATGCATTTCATCAGACCCTGGTGACTTGCAGGCATCTAACTTTTCTAAGAGATTTTTAACTTGTTCTTTTTTTATTTTATCTTCTAAACCTACCCCCTTCCCATTAGCATTCACTATGTTAGGCATTCGGTCAGACTTCTCGGTGAAGACCGAAACAAAGAAGTCATTAAGCATCTCTGCCATTTCCAAGTTTCCTGTTACTGTTTCTCCCTCCTCACTGAGCAGTGGGCCTACTGTGTTTTTGGTCTTCCTCTTGCTTCTAATGTATTGATAAAACGTCTTCTTGTTTCCCTTTATTCCCATAGCTAGTTTGAGCTCATTTTGTGCCTTTGCCTTTCTAATCTTGCCCCTACATTCCTGTGTTGTTTGCCTATATTCATCCTTTGTAATTTGTCCTAGCTTCCATTTTTTATATGACTCCTTTTTATTTTTTAGATCATGCAAGATCTCGTGGTTAAGCCAAGATGATCTTTCCTACCCAGCGGAATAGCTTGCTTTTGGGCCCTTAATAGTGTCCCTTTGAAAAACTGCCAACTCTCCTCAGTCATTTTCCCCGTCTTGATTCCCATGGGACCTTACCTATCAGCTCTCTGAGCTTACCAAAATCCGCCTTCCTGAAATCCATTGTCTCTATTTTGCTGTAGTCCCTTCTACCCTTCCTTAGAATTGTGAACTCTATGATTTCATGATCACTTTCACCCAAGCTACCTTCCACTTTCAAATTCTCAATGAGTTCCTCCCTATTTGTTAAAATCAAATCTAGAACAGCTTCCCCCCAGTAGCTTTTTCAACCTTCTGAAATAAAAAGTTGTTTGCAATGCAGTCCAAGAACTTATTGGATAGTCTGTGCCCCGCTGTGTTATTTTCCCAACATATATCTGGATAGTTGAAGTCCCCCATCACCACCAGATCTTGGGCTTTGGATGATTTGGTTAGTTGTTTAAAAAAAGCCACATCCACCTCTTCCACCTGGTTAGGTGGCCTAGGATGGTTAGACCCCTAGGATGACATCACCCTTGTTTTTTACCCCTTTTAGCCTAACCCAGAGACTCTCAACACTTCCGTCTCCTATGTCCATCTCCACCTCAGTCCAAGTGTGTACATTTTTAATATACAAGGCAACACCTCCTCCCTTTTTCCCCCGTCTATCCTTCCTGAGCAAGATGTACCCATCCATATCAACATTCCAATCATGTGTATTATCCCACCAAGTTTCGGTGATGCCAACAATGTCATAGTTGTATTTATTTATTAGCACTTCCAGTTCTTCCTGCTTGTTACCCATACTTCTCGCATTTGTATATAGGCATCTAAGATACTGATTTGATCTTGCCTCCCAGTTTTGCCCTGACCCTCCTTTCTCTCTGCCATGATAGCCCACGCTCCCTCCTATTTCCGACCCATCTCCCAGGTCTCCATGTTCTCCATTTACCTGTGGGCTTTGCTCACCTGTCCCCGTCAAACCTAGTTTAAAGCCCTCCTAGACCTAGGACTGTCCCCTATGAGACTACACTAGATAAACTACAGGGTGTCACATCAAACCATTTATAACTACTCTATGAGCATGGTCTTTCAACCTGTTGTGCACGCACCCTACAGTAAATTCATCTAGGCCTCATTTCCCTACTTTGTTTTGAGAATGTCATGTGGGACTGTGTCAAAAGGCTTACTAAAATCAAGATATCACATCTATAGCTTCCTCCCTATCCACTAGGCCAGTAATCCTGCCAAAGGAGGAAATTACGTTGGTTTGGCATAATTTGTTCTTGCTATATCCATGCCAGATTTGTGAAGCATTCAAGATACTAGCAGAGGATAGACGCTGTTGGACTCTCACTCTTCTCTTTTCTCTCCCCAATGAGTCTACACAGGAAAAGGAGGCAGGCAGAAGTACCCAGCCTTAGCTTCTCAAGAAGCAATTGCTGACACGTAGTTTGTTTCTGTCATCCATTTACAGCAATATTCAGCATAAATAGTGAACGTGGGGGATGTTTGTGAAATAGTGAAAGTGGTTAGTGTGCAGTTTAGAAATGATTTTGCAGCTCCAACAATGTGAGCAATAAAATATAGATTTAAAAAAAAAAATACGTCTAGCACTGACGGCGCTAAGCATCTATTGCCTTGTTTATATTTCAAGTGGCACCAGTTTAACTCAAGGTGTTTAACAAAACCTGTTTAAATAATTTTAAAAAATCAAGGCAAAATCTGTGTTAAAACAAGGCTGCAGTTTAGAGAATTGTGAGTTCATGCACAATTAATTGTTCCATAGAATTGTGTTTTAGGATAGCCTTTTAGTTCTCCAGCTGTGTCAAAGTTCTTTGCAAAGTAGTTCAGGGATTCTGAAGCCAAAAGAGCAGCTCAACTACAGATCGCATCACCTTAGATATTAAAATCTAACACATATGAAGATAATTTTAAAGTGTGTGATTGTATAAACTATCAGAAACAGTATTTTGAATGCTGTTTTAGAACACGGGTTCTCAAACTTCATTGCACTGCGACCCCCTTCTGACCACAAAAATTACTACACGACCCCAGGAAGGGGGATCGAAGCCTGAGCCCGGGGGAGGGAAAAGCCCGAGCTCCACCACCCCTGCGCAGGGTGGACCAAAGCCAAAGGGCTTCAGTCCCAGGCAGGGGGCCTGTAACTTGAGCCCCGATGCCCAGGGCTGAAGCCCTGAGGCTTCAGCTTTGGCCTCGGGTGGTGGGGTTTGGGCTTCGGCCCCAGGCCCCAGCAAGTCTAAGCCAGCCCTGGCGACCCCATTAAAATGGGGTCGTGACAAACTTTGGGGTCCCAACGCACAG